GTGTGTGTGTGTCTGTCTGTCTGTCTGTCTGTCTGGCACACATTCAGAGATCAGAGAACAACCTTTGGAAGTTATTTTTCTTCTACTACAGAACTCAGGTCATCTAGCATTATCTATTACATTTGTTTCATTTGTGTATGATACATATCAATCTTACCCTTTCAATACAGTCAGTCTTATCCTTTCTTCCATCCATCACATATCATGCATCTGTTGTCTCTGGCTCAGCTTTGACTTTTATCTACATACATACATGCATACAGTGTTTGGGACTTCCTTGTTTCCCCAGTTAACAGATGCTGAGGCTCTTTGTTTGGCTCTTTGTTGTATGTGACTCATTCACTCTGACCCATGTGATATTCCATCATGAGAATATTCTACAACATCTCTCCACTGCCCTGCTCACAGGTACTTACTTCCAGTTTATATGAAAAAAAAAAACTTCTGTAAGAGTCTGGTATACATATTCAACCAATGTCTCTGTCACTACTGTTGGTGTTTCTATACTTTGCCTCATGTTGTGTCTGCAGTCACAAAATGGGGCAGGTGTCTAATAAAGGTCTTGACAATAATGGAAATGGCATTCTCTCTCTCTCTTTTTTTTTAATCTTATTATGCTTTACTTTGCCATGTTTGGTTGTTATCTTCTAGAAGCATGTTCTTTTCTCTTTTTTCTTTAAATTCTTTTCATTTTACATAGCTGTCCCAGTTCCCCTTCCCTTCCCTTCCCTTCTCCTGCTCCTCACCTTCTTCCATCACACCCACATCCATTCCTCAGAGGGATAGGCCTCCCTTGGGGAGTCAACAATGTCTGGTATACCAAGTTGAGGCAGGACCAAGACCCTCCACCCTGCATCAAGGCTGAACAAGGTGTCCCACCATAGGGGATGGGTTTCAAAAAGCCAATTCATGTACCTAGGATAAATCCATGTCCCACTGCCAGGTCCCCCCCCAAAATCAAGACAAATATTGTCACCCACATTCAGAGGGCTTAGTTCGGTCCCATGCAGGATCTCCAGCTGTCAGTCCAGGGTCCTTGAATTCCCACTAGCTCAGATCAACTGTCTCTGACCCCCTTGCAAATATGACCCCTCCTCCCTCTCTTCAACTAAGCTCCAGGAGCTCAGCCCCGTGCTTGGCTGTAGATCACCACATCTATTTCCATCAGTTAGTGGATGTAGGTTCTATGATGACAATTAGGGTAGTCACTTATCTGATTATAGGGGACGGCCAATCCAGGCACTTTCTCCTCTATTGCTAGGAGTCTTAGCTGGGGTCTTCCTTGTAGATTCCTGGGAATTTCCCTAGTACTTGGCTTTTCCCTAACCCCATAATGGCTCCCTTTATCAAGATACATCTTTCATTGCTCCCCCTCTCTGTTCCTCCCCCAACTCAGCCATCTCAATCCCTCATGTTCCCACCCCTATTCCTTCCCTTTCCCAGTTTTCCCAGGAGATCTCAGCTATTTCCCTTCCATGGGGCCCTCCATATGTGTCCCTCTAGCACCCTCCTTTTTATCTAGCTTCTCTGGGGTTGTGGATTTTAGCATGGTTATCCTTTGCTTTGCATTTAACACCCACTACTTAACAAGTGAGTACATACCTTGTTTGTCATTCTGGATCTGGGTTAGCTCACTCAGGATGTTTTTTTTTTTGTTGTTGTTGTTGTTTGTTTTGTTTTTTTTTTTTTTCTAGTTCCATCCGAAATGGCATTCTCTTATTCTTAGTGGATTGTCTTGGTTCTTGACTGATGACAGCAGGGATGCCTAGGGTGGGGGGCAGCAGTGTGACCGCACAAAGTCTGGGCACCCAGGCTGGCTGGAGTTTCCCTGTGTAAAGTGTGCATGAGCACAGTGCAGATACATGCATGAACTATGTGGATGTGCTGACTCCTTGCCATGTTTTGCCCAGGAAAAGCAGAGGCTGTACTCTCTGAGATGCTGGTCGAATGTAAATCATCGTTGTCAGCAATGGTAATGTGGGAAGGGCTCCTAGCAAAGTCATAGGGGTTGCACCTTATCCAGAAGCATCAGAAGCCCCTTAGCACTGAGTACAGTAGCCCCCACGTGGCTTATTGTACGAAACTAAGGGCCACCTTGTACAGGTCAGGCAGACTCCGTGTCCTCTGGGTCAGAGCTGCATCTAGGAGCATGGATTTAGGATGAGAACAGAATTTTGAATGGTACTGTGTCGGATCATATCACATTCTGTCAACTTCCAAGAATTTCTGTCCTTCTCACCAAGGACAAGCTTTTTAAAATTGATTACTGCCAAAGAACATGAGTAATATGGCCCTTGTGAGGTACTACCAACCAGCCTGCAACCTTTATCAAGATTGCAGAATTCAGGGCTTTCCCAGGCTTGGGGTATGGAGACATCTACGTTCTTCTCCTATTTGCCTCCCCTCCCTGGCTCAACCTGTGGATCTCACTCTTCCTCCAGCCCTAATTATAAAGTAATTGTCATTCCAACCTCTAGAGTTCCATTGGTAACCCTGGAATATACGCAGATTGGGTGCTGCTCATAAGCTGGGACCAAAGCACCCCACTACTCAGTGTGTGCTTGTCACATAGAAATAAATCATCTTGTCCTTGGACCTTACGCATGCCTGTCTTTGTCTGAAACCAAATATGGAAAGGACAGGGAGTTTGGGTAGTGAGTTTTGTATTTTTCCAGTTTGGGTGGATGTTTTTCTTTTCAGGTTTATGTGCTTAATGTCCATATCAGTGAAGGGTGTATTTCTGTCTTCCCAGAGAGCTGCAGGAGGAACACAGCTCATAGGTCTGCGTGATGAATCTGCAGGTGCACACTTCCCTCTTTGTGCCCATGGTGAACCAGCAGCACCCAACACACAGTGTCCAGGTCCAGGGAGCTTCACTCTTGCTTCCTGCTTGGCCAGAGCTTCTCTGTGAGCTCTTCTGTCCTGTTATCAGAGGGCACTTCTTCCACACTCTTGTCATTGACTTCTTAGAGCATCTGACAATTGTTCCTGTTGCTCACTGTAGCCTTGACCAGGTAGGTGTCCAGGTTGTCCTCCACGCTAGAAGATAAAATATTTATCCCTCTATTCCAGATGCCATTGTTTATTGTTGTTGTTCTTTATTGGTGTTGTTTTGTGTGTGTATGTGTGTGTGTGTGTGTGTGTGTGTGTGTGTGTGTGTGTGTGTGTTTGGCTTTTTGAGACAGGGTCTCACCATGTGATTCTGGCTGACCTGGTACTCTCTGTGTAGACCAAGCTGGCCTCGAGCTCACAGAGATCCTCCTTCCTCAGCCTCTTGATTAATGGGATTAAAGGCATGCACCACCACACCCATCTCTAAGGTGCTTTGAGAGCCCAGGAGAGCAGGGTATCCACAGACCACCTTCCTCTTTCTCATGCCCATTACACCAGGGTGGGAACCTCAGCAGCCATCTGGTTTACTTCACCTGTGCAGCAGGATCTGATGGGGACAGATTTTCTTCAACCCAACCTCTGCACTGGTCACCTGGCACATCACCCTGTCTCTAACACATGTCTCCATTCAACCTGGCATCTTGGAAGTGCCTTTTTCTCTTCCCAAGCAGAGGGCTAAGATGCACAGTGATATTAGTCAAGCATAGTGTTGAGTTCACCATAAAAGCATACAATCTTTCTGGACAGAATCACTATCCACCATCAGCTCAATTGATGCAGATCAACAAAAATGGAAGGTGGAAGAGCCTGTAGCATCTACCAGAAACAGTGATCCTGAGGATTTCTTCACATAGCATCTAGTGCACTAGCTTCATGCCAGGGTCTCTGCATATGTGGGACTTTCCAAACATGAGATTGATCTTTTCTCTTACGTAGGCAATAGATCATCTGAATGCTGAAATAGACAGAATAGGCAGGGTTGCAGTACAGTAACAAGCAGACCCCCCCTCCCCCCAAGTGACTGGGTTGAAATAAGTAATGCTCACTCCTCATCAAACCATTTCTGCCATTACTACCCAGCAGTAAGGTTACAGAGGTGTTGCTTGTCAGTGGGTGGGGTGTGTCTCTTGTTATTTAGAATGTTCCTGTTGTCATATTGGAAGAGAGTGCTTCAGAGAGCCTTGCATTAGCAAACAAGTGTCTTGGATGAACCCCTTCTTCCTGTGGGTGCTGTGCCCTCCCCCCACCCCTCCGCCACTGGATGCTAGAAACTGTTGGCAACACATGCTGAGTCAGGAGAAAGGAAACATTTGGTGAGTAACACTGACAACTGCACATATTTGATCCAGGTTAAGCCAGGCTCAGGGCCTCACACCTATATTCCCAACATTTAGGAGGCTGAAGAGGATACAAGTTCAAGGCTACCCTATGCTGCAAAGGAATTTCAGGCTAGCCTAGGTTATAGTGTGAGATCTTCTCATTTAAAGAAAACCATGACGTTCAAATACACAAACCAATCTAAAACTAAAACAAAACAACCCCCCAAATAAACAACAGTTGTAAAAGTCTGGCTATATTTAAATACCCACAGGTCTGGGTATTTAACGGAGTCCTATCATGAAATTAATAGTAGGTAGCTCCCATGGCATATTAGTGTCTCTGAGACATGCAACCTGTCCCTAAACTCACAGATTCAGAGGCCAAAAGCCATCCCCATGGTATAAGCTAAGAGAGTACAGACAACTAGCCACCTCTCTTTTTGAGGCTCACTGAAGCTAGGACCAGCACAGGCTGGCATATGAGCTCACAGCAGGTAAGTGCACCTCAGCTCTACTGAAGGCTGGAAAGGAAGGCTGGCTCTTGGCTTGCACAGTAGCCCGCCCTCTTCATTCTTGTTTCTGGGAAGTCCCCCGTCCCTTGGCAGGCTAGGCAGATACTCTTGTCTGCTTGCTGTGGCCCAGCCAGGTGTCCTGGGCTACCTTCTGCCCTGGGAGACATTCAGCCCTGGGTGTCTGTGAAGAGGAGGTCACAGTGTCTGGCTGCAGCAGGCACTGAAACTGGACAGTCATACATGGCTGTAGAAAGTCTATTTAAAAGGGTTTCTTTTTTATTATTCAACTGTTATTCAGCAATATACAGTGCAGTTTATAAACAACAATACCCTTGTTTCCAATCTTTATTTAAAAATAAATATTATTGACAGTGAGTTTTAATTATGGTGTTTTTTTAATCAAAATGTCTCCAAAGAAATAATTTAATAAAGAAAAGCCCCCAAAGAAAAAGTAAATTCAAAAAAAATTTCTAAACACAATAATCTCCTAAAAATATTTTACTTTGTCAGAAAGGCTTTGACCCGATTTTTTTTTTTTTACATATTATCCTCAAAGTACCTGTTCAACAGTTCGTGCAAAATGAAGACTCAGAGGGCACGTGAAGGAAAGAAACAGAAACTGGACGTTGCCGTGGAGAGCTCAGCGCCCCATGCAGACTGCACGGCCTTCGCTCCATCCTATCTGGAAACTTGATGCGTTACTTTAAGTCTTCTAAATTTGTGTTACTTCCCCAAAAAATAAGATTTATTTATTTCTGCATGGACTTCTTCATGCTTCCCTTGGTCCTTGTGTCCATGTGGCAAGGTCCTCCCTCGCGTGGCTGCAGAAATTTTATGGCTGTCAGTGTCCCAGCAATGGGTGCAGGAACCTATGCAGCGCTAACAAGAGCAGCGACAGCAGAGGGTCTGTGCTGTAGGCAGGGCCGGTACCTGCAGGGGAAGAGAAAACAGACAGTTAACTGGACTCCTGAGAACCTGGGACCCTGAGGCAGACCAGAGTCGAGGGAGGCTTTCCGAGGCTTCTGAAACCACAGGAGCGAGCTGGAGGCTGCCATGGCTGCTTCTGTTTAAAGATGGAGCCAGATGTGGTCAGACACAGGTGCGCTTGTCCTGAGGTGGATGTGCTAGACACTGCTTTGTTTCACTAAAGACAACCTGCTTCTTTGGTCCTTAGCACAATTCTTCCAAGTGTCCTCGAAATGAAGGCTCACCTCCCCCACCTCCTCCACCTCTTCACACAGTGCCAGCTTCCAGGCAACCTCTCCAAGTTCCTGTCTAAATGGCACACCTCAGCATCCTCACAGGTCCTGTCACGGTGGTTTCTGGGTGTTAACCTTCCTTCCATAACCATGCTGTCAAGCTGCTCCTGGAGATGGGGAGCTCAGTAATCACAGGCTGGTGTGGGAGGATACCTAAGATTCCACACATCTGGCCCCACACTGTCTGTATCATACCCACCTTTTCCTCCAGTGTCTGGGTGCCTGGTCTGCCTCTGGGCCCTAATACCTAACCACCAAGTCTTCATCCTGCCTCCTCCGGGCCACTGCTTGTCTCCTCCCCTATTCTCAAAGTGTCCAGATGTTACAAAGACCTCCCTGTGTAGCCAGGAAAAGCCCACCATAGAGCCCTGGGCTCCTGAGCTGCAAAATGCCCTACCTCTCCTGGGATTCCTTATTCTTCTGCCTTGGTACTGGGGGACACCATTACTGAATGTGATACTGGGGGGCACCACTGCTGAGTGGGATGCTGGGAGACACCACTGCTGAATGGGGTGCTGGGGGACACCACCGGTGACTGCTCTCCTATACATTTTGCCTGAACCTCCAGCAGGCTGGGCAACCCTATACCCAGGAGGACTGTGGGAGACTCTTCATTGGTCAACACCAGATTTGCAGAAAGTGTCTGCCCTAGCTGCTGCTAGGGCAACTGGATCCTTCGTCTCTATTAGGTCAGATGAGGGTTTTTCCAACAAGGTTGGGACTGACTGTAGTACTATCAACCTCTTCTCATTTTGCATACCAATCCCAGTCCCCACTCCATCCCCTTCTCCTGTTCCCTCTACCTCCCACCCACCGCATCCCCCCATCCACTCCTCAGAGAGCATAAGGCTTCCCAAGGGGAGTCAACAACATCTAGCAAGTCACTTTGAGGTGAGACCAAGGCCCTGCCCACTATATCTAGGCTGAACAAGGTATCCTTCCAAAGAAAATGAGTTCCAAAAGGCCAGTTCAAGCACTATAGTTAAATCCCGGTCCCACTGCCAGTGGCATCACAGACTGCCCCAGTCACACAACTGTCCCCACATTCGAAGGGTCCAGTTTGGTCCTATGCATGTTCCCCTGCTGTCAGTCCTGAGTGAGTGAGTTCCCACTAGCTCAGGTAAGCTGTTTCAGTGGGTGTCCCCATCGTGGTCTTGACCCCTTTGCTCATATCATCGCTCCCTCCTCTCTTCGAATGGACTCTGGGAACTCGGCCCAGTTCTAGCTATGGATCTCTGCATCTGCTTCCATCAGTTTCTGGATGAAGGTTCTATGATGACTGGCTTTCCCCTGTAATCAGATTAACTACTATCAACCTTCATGGGTAGAAGTACTGTCAATCCTTTTCTTTCCTTGTAAGTTTTGATATTAGTCTTTATTTAGAATTTAATGTATGAGAATTGCATTTAAATCATTTCCACCCTTCTCTTCTCCCCCTCCAACTCCTCTAGTGTAGGCCACTCACTTACTCTTCCCAAATTCATGACTTCTTTCATTATTACTCTGTGTGTGTGTGTGTGTGTGTGTGTGTGAGAGAGAGAGAGAGAGAGAGAGAGAGAGAGAGAGAGAGAGAGAACATTTCATGTTGTTGCTCTGTGTATGTGTTTCGGGCTGATCACTTGGGATTGGATAGCTGTCAGTGGACTCATCCTTGGTAAAGATTATTCCCCCCTCTATAGTTCTTTATCTAGGGGTTAGACCTTGTGAGTCTTTCCCTATCTCTGTTAGCATGTCAGCTGGTGTTGCCATTGTGCAGATCCTGTTTAGGCAGGCATGTTGTTGAGGTTTCATGAGTATAGTTCCTTATCATATATAGAAGACACACTCTCAAGCAGACAGTCTGGTCCTCTGATTCCTACAATCTTCCCTCTTCTCTGAGATGTTCCTCAAGCCTTGTGTTGTAGTTTATTTTTTAAATTCATTCTCTTAATTAGCATTCAAAATAACAGATTTCATCAAGACATCTCCATCCATGTCTTTATCAGACTTTGTTCATGTACAGCCTGGTTATCACATCTCATCCTAATCTCCTCTCCTAATAGTACTCCTTCTATTTTAATCACACATGGACACACACACACGAGAGAGAGAGAGAGAGAGAGAGAGAGAGAGAGAGAGAGAGAGAGAAACAGAGAGAGAGACAGAGACAGACAGAGAGAGAGAGACAGAGACAGACAGAGAGACACAGAGAGAGAGGCAGACAGGGGGTGGGAGAGGCAGGGAGGGAGGGAGAGAGGGGGGAGGGAGGGAGAGAGAGAGGTGGGGGAGTTAGTTTTAAATCTAGAAAGACATAATACTTATCTTTCTGAGTCTGGCTTATTTTGCTTTAACACAATGGCTGCCAATTCCATCCACTTTCCTCATCTGAATAAAATTCTAGTGTGTATATATAACCCCATTTTCTTTATATAGTCTGAGAACTTAAGCTAGTTCTGTATCTTGGTAATTGTGGCTAGTGCATCAGTAAACATGAATGCCTGAGTGTGGTACACTGGTCTCCAGGTGCATACTTAGGCATGATGTAACTGGATCTAGCCATTATTCTCTTAGTCCAAAGCATTTTCCCTACTCCATAATTCAGCTTGCTCTGCCTGCAACTGTGTATGTGATAGAACCCATGCTCCATGCCTACTCCTCTCCTCTATGAAAAAGAAGCTGAACAGATGATCCATTCAGAATCTCCATGACTGCAGCTGCCCACGTGTGGACTGGTGCTGGCTCACACTGTGGAGTGAGAAGAAGGCAGACTCTCCTGTGTCCAGTCTTTCCAGAGATGCTATTTCTCTGCACAGTCCCGACCCCAGTTAAGAAATCCATCCACGACCCCATCCGGACATATTAGTCTTTAGATCTTAATTTCCCAGTCTTTCCTCCTGCCCTCCCACAATCTGGCCACTCTGCTTCTGGCTATCACCAGCAGAGAGAATCGCAGTGCATTGATTGCTACAAAGACCACAATCCTTTTTTTGTGCCTCCTTATTGTCACAGATTGCTAGGAAGATGGATGCAGTGACAGGTGAGTTGATGGATGGCTAGAGGTCCAGGTAGAATTCGCAGGGGCTCTTGGGCACATGGAAAAAAAAACAGTCTGAAAATAGGGACAAGGGATGGTGGTGCTTCTTGAGCTCATATAGCTTGGAGACTAGACATCCAATGCCCAGGCTTTGATGGTTACACTCTTGCAAACCCTAGCACTAAGGCAGGCTCAGGCGACAGAAACAGGAATGAGAGGTATCTAAAAGCAGTTGTGCACAGAATTTCAGACCATCAAGATATGCAGCAGTCAGAGAAGCAGTCAATGGACATGTAAACCAGTCTGAGGATGGCTGGCCAGGTGGCCAGGTGGTACTGCAAGCGCAGGAGAGGCAAAGCAAGATTTAACCTTGCCTTCAAGTACCCTCTGACTTACCCACTTGCTTAATGTTAAAAGGTTTCAGACTGAGGACATAGCTAGTGGTCCTTAGTAAAGTCCTATGTTCTATCCCTACTATGCAAAAAGCAGCTTGATTCTCTGTGCTGGGCCAGAGGTAGAAGCACCAGGGACAGAAGGACCACATGATGCTGTCTAAGGTAATGAGCATGGAAGGTAGAGATCAACACCTGTGGGGCCTTCAATGTTGGATGTCTGCTTGGTGGCCACAGGGGTTCCTAAACCTAGTCCTGTTGCTAACAGCCCCCTTCACCTCTCCGGGTCTTGTAGCATATGCTATAAAATTAGTATATGTCTTGCCGGTGCCACAGAGGCAGGCCATGCAAAGCCTTCCTCCTCTCCACCACGCACATTCTGTGATAGTGCCTCCCTCACATGACCTGTTGTAGACAGTGGACTATCACCAGAGTGAGGCAAAGTTTACAGAGGGCTGTGCACTTTCAGAATGAACTGTCAAAGTCTGAGTCAGCCTTCTGAAGAATGGGGATCATGAGATATCCTAGATAAGGTCCCTCCAGACCAATCAATCCCCAAGTGAATTGGCACCAATCACTTAGCTGAGCCCAGCAGAGACCAAGTGAGAAACTTCCCAGGTGAGCCGAGAGAAATCACTGTGGTGGTCTGAATGGCACTATTAGGAGGTGGCTTTGTTGGAGTAGGTGAAGTTCTGTTGGAGGAAGTGTGTCACTGTGGAGGCCGGCTTTGAAGTCTCATATATGGTCAAGATACCACCCTTTGGATCAAGATGTAGACTTCTCCAGCACCATGTCTGCTTCCACGCTGCCACACCTCTAGTCACCATGCTCCCTGTCATGACGACAATGAACTAAACCTCTGAAAATGGAAGCCGCCACCTCAATTAAATGTTTCCTTTTATAAGAGCTGTCATGGTTATTGTGTCTCTCCCCTGCAATAGAAACCTAAGACAATGACCATAATGTCACACGAAAGTCACTGGGTTTTAAGGTCCTCTATCACACAGCAAAAAGACATTCCATACAACATACAAACAAAAGCATCCCAGATAGTCAATGCCGTGCAAGCAGAAGTTTCAGAAAAGACCAGTGTGAGCCAGGTGTGTTAGACACACTTGCAATCCCAGTACTCAGGAGGTTGAGACAGGAGACTCTATCTGGGCTACACAGTGAGACCTTCTTTCAAAAACAAAACAAAATACACAAACAAACAAAAACAGGATCTAGGAATATATCTCAGAGAGACAGCATTTATCCAAATGTACG